ACTAAATTGCTTTTAAAACCTCATCATATTTTTGTATATGAACTGTTTGCTTTAGTGTGGCGAACACATGCTTACTTTTTAATTGCGGCACGCTTGCTATCCCGCCTTTCAGGTTGTTCAACATTTATTCAATATTGTCCATTTCGACCCATTTGAATTGTGTTATTAATATTTCTGCATAGAATTCGTGAGATCTAGTTCGTGAGGACGTTGCCACATTCTTCATATCCACTGATAGAGTCGTCGATTGCTGTCTGTTATTTGACATGGGGAAGACCATTTATGCTGAACTGAAATCGTCAGCCTGTCATGCTGCGAATAAAAACGGCAGTACTTTAGATGCGAAATCGGGTCCATTTTGTCGCTAATCCCACCTTTTGGCTTGCCGTTTTGAGGAAGACCAAACCACCTGAAACTGCATGGCTTTCTTTTGTGTTTCGTGTTACCAGAGTCCTGTCTACGTTCACTAGTTATGATGTTCTTCGGGTTTCATGAAATTGAGTCAAGTTTGTTGCCGACGAGTTTGAGGGCCTGTTAGCCTTAGTAACAGATAATCTCTGACTGGGAAGATCAGCTGCCTGATGCTTGAACTAGAACCGGCTATTCAGCTAGCAAAATAATATATGCGAGGTAGAATGGTTGACAGTGTAACGGGTCAATACCTTTCGTCGAATCTTTCGAAGGGCTCGTTTGAAGTTAGAAATCGATCTATTAGCCTGACCATCAAGTAACTTCCCCTACTGTTGGAGTCCTGTAAAATGGTATACAAAGAAATTAAAAGGAGACGGAATGTCAGTTTTCGAAAGAAAGAACTTGGCATTGGTGACTTAAGAGTGCATGCCATGACCTCAAATAAGGGGATTCTTGAGCTAGGGCGTGCCTTCTGTCGGCTGCGATAGGGGAATGGGGAGGGGGAAATTTACTTTGGGGGTGACGAAACATAGTCACCCGAATTATTTGTGGTTATTACAGTTTGCACACTCAGATGAACACTAAGCGGCAAAGTAAAAGCGGTTAATAGAGATACCTATAAAGCCTTTAATCTATGGTCAACATAGAAAAACTAAAAGGTAATATTTTTTAATGCTTACAATTTTAAGAAGGCGTACTTTCATAACAAACAAGTGCGAAAAATAGTACTTTTTAGCATGTTTTCCAAAATAATTGAATTAATAGGAACATCAAATGTTAATGAGAAAAAAATGTATTACTTAAGTAACCAACTTTTAACTGAATATACATTTGTAGACAGACAGTGACACGTTTATTCAACAGCTGGCATCCTGCCGTCGCTTAAATACCATCTTGAAATTATCCGGCAGGGTAATCAGATTGCAAATAAGGCCTTTTTAAATTTTATATTGTAAGAAGTGGTATTTTTGGTTTTAAAAACAATTCTAAATTACCGAATAATTAAAAAAACCTTACGGGTCGTTAAAATTGTATTCCAGGGTTCAAGACTGCATGCTCTAAACATTCTGCGTAAAGGAAAGCACACGGTTCCTACATTATGAGGAAGCGCTCGCATAGCTCTCATAAGATTTTCATGTATACTTAACATGCAATCTTAATAAAACGATGAATGCTCTTTATTGTGAATGAATAGTTTACGATCCTAAAAGTCTCTTGACCTTGTAAACAGAAGAATATTATTTCTTTAAGTATAGAATTCGAAAAAGGCCCAATTCAATCTCAAAAGAGTAAAGGGAATAATATTTTCTTCATGTTTTCTAAAAACCACAGTCGGATTTCTAAGAGTATAAAAGGTAAATGAGAAAAATACATACTGTGCAAGTAGCCATCTTTTGCAGAGTGTTTTGTGTTTTAGAGCGTCATTAATAAGCTTTTTTGAAAGCCGGCATCCTACCGTGAGTGAAACATCTTTGGATTGTGCTGCGCGATAATCAATATTACAACCTACTTTTGTGTTTTGTTTGAATTGAAAATGCATTTCAGAAGTTCAGTTGGCATTTCATGAGATAGGGAACGTACTGTAACTTATTTTACTGATTAAGCAATAATACATAAAGGTATCAACTGTGCGCTCACCTATGGCGAGGAGTATCGCCAAAACGATGCCAATGATTCCTCCAATTCCAAGGTCTGTTGCCATTACGGGAAAAAGTGAAGGGGGTCGGATTAACCGCTAACCACGAGGATTCTGCCGTACCGGTTTACAGGAACCCCCATTCAGACCAGGCTGCTTTAGGCAGACGGCCAGAAAATAGCAGTTATCGTTCTTCGCCTGATCTGCAGCACACTTGCCAGCTGAGCAACAAAATATGGCGAGCGAAGCATTTCACTGGCGGTAAAGTAGCCAATGAAGAGAGTCGCGAAGGCAATTGAATACAGATGACCCACCGATGGACCAATCAGCGCCAAAAGCAGAGAAACAAAAGCCACCAACGATCACTACTCACTCATTTGTGCGCATTAGTTAATTAAACTTCGAAATTTTACCATCCGTGGCAGTCTATCTTCATTTTAGATGTCTAGTGGATCGCAGAATGTTCAGTTGTCAAGTGAACTTTCATTCCGCAGTTGGGTGATTTATGTGACCATGTCATCGACTAATGCTCCAATCTAGCTGCTTCTATCACCTCTACAGCCATTTGGTGTGTTTTCTAGAGTTCTGGAGTTATTCCTTCCTTAAATTTGCAGCATTCTGCGCTTGACGGCTAGCTATGGTGTCTTCTTAAGCCAACGGCCAATACCTTACTCATACTCTGTACCAGTACGGTAATTTCTCACTCCTCATCTAACGAACTACGCAAAATAACGTGCTTTTATATAAACGACAACTGTTGCATTCAAACGGGACCTCGAAATGAACTTCTTTGGTTACTTGAACATTCCAGATGTCCGTAGCGGGCCATAACATCTCCTCAATTTTCGAAATCAAAAACAGCAAATTATGTGGAAAATCTACCCTATACGACTTGGCCAGTGACCACTGGACATTGGCTGTTTTAACTATTGCCTAATTACCCATCAACAGGGCAACCAGGGTTCTATTTGCCATTAAGCGAAACTTTATCGATATCTATAAGGAATTATTTGGGAAAATACACGGGACCATTATTCGTTCACATTTAAACTAGGTAGTTCAGGAATCAAGTGCGTGAGTGCAGAAAGGTCACAAGCTACTGCAAAGGTTCCAAAGTGGGCAACAAAAGTTGTGAAGGGTCTAAAGTTCATAATTTACGAATGCAGACTTGAGCCTACAAACCTTTTTTTCTCTTGAGTACAGGCAGATATGAGGTGATTCCTGTTGCACTGTGGCACTTGACGTGTGTAACCGTCGAATTTCGGCCGTTGGAATAACCAAGGAAGAACACAATAAGAAGAGCGTAACTTTGGAATCCATCCAGAGGAGGGTTTATTGTGTACGAACCCCGGAGTTGCTTTCTTTGCTGTCCGTTGCCGCTGGTTGATCTCCAGCGCGCCTTTGTGTCCCCACATCGGGGCTAGCCGAGGTCTTGTGGGCGAATTGGTGGTGTCCTCACAGTCTGCGTGCAACTCACTGTCTGAGAGGTGGCAGTGGCTTATAGAGGATTGTCATGCGCATTCGTTTGTGGCATCATTAGGCGCTTGGTATAAGGTCACGCGACCAGTTGGCGGCGCGTAGACTTGTGTGCGTCTGTGTCCTCTTCAGAGGTTTAGGCCATTGCGTGGGCGCATTCCCCGTGAAGCATATGACCTTGAAGGCGGCCCTCATGTTGACGAAGGAATCATTGTTGCAGTTGGCGGCAGGTAAAACGCCTCAGGAAAGCCCGCAAAGCTGTTAGCCTTTGGTTAGGCTACACTCCTAACAATCTCATGCAGAGATACCGGCTCCCGAGGAATCGGGACTTTGCCCTGCAGTTATTCATCTCCTCATCTAACCCGCGTGGGAATTCCCTCATACTCCAAGGAACCTTATTCCACCTGCCTGTCCATAGCCATTAGTTTTCACAGCGATTCACCTGTGCATGGCGCGGACCGACAGACGCATTTAAGGACAAACTTGATTAATATTTACATAGGAAATACCGTTCATCTGCATAGGAAAGCACTTGTTGAACATATCAACGCTTTGCTCACACTTACAGACGAAGCTAATACGCAATATTTTAAAATTTTATTTGCGATCATCGGGGCGATAATGCGCAAATTTCACACGACAAAAATAGATGCAACTACATATGCTATTCCCTATTTTATGGTAATCAAATTATTTGATGTATTTTGACCTGACTGTTACTGTAAACCGCTGTTAATAGGGTCTTCAGGGGCATCGTCTATTACCCTAAATAAACTGGCCTAACACGAACTTAACTAGCTCGCGGTTATACCACAGAGACTGATAGACCTCGGCCCAAATATTTACGTGCACTTTGGGTATTTACCTGTAGACCTAACATTTATGCTGATCTTCTTCAACTTCACAATTTAACTTTTGAGATAATTAAAGAGGCACAATTAAAAAAACTGGAATACGTTTCAAAAAATAAAGGGGACCCACTAATTAATTGAACCCATCACAGTGATGCCATGCAGTGGCAGAATAGCGGTGAAACAGGTGTCTAGACCTTTGGGTAGTACCTGTTCTGCTAGCAAGGTAAATAATTTCCGCTCTGAATTGGCTACGCTAGTCTTATCCTTTGTCCCATATGGTTTCGGTAGCTCTATCGGAAGGGTCTTCTGCTGCGTTACTGAGTCGCACGCTAGCCGGCTTCCCAATTTCTAAAATTACGAAAGGAAAAAACTTTTTCTGATTAGCGTTAATGAAAAAGTGTAAAATCAATTGCCAGCCGAGGTGGGAATTAAATGGCAATTCACAGCCTATACAAAAAGCTCGCAAACAAGAGGAGAAAGCAAGGAATCTAGGGACAAGGAGCTGTGCTTTTTAAAACCCGGTGTCTTCTTGTTGTTGTTATTGTGGGGGTGGTGGTGGTCTAGGAAAAGTAGTGGGCATGACAAGGTGAAGGTTCGAATCCTGATTAGGTAGATCATCAAGTACATTAAAAGCCCGATACAGTGTTCCATGTGCTCGTGAGTTCCGGCTGCGGGTGTTCTCACCGACGTTCTCATACAACTGCGACCCCGAAGCCAAACTCGCAAGGTTACTTGGACTGCTTTCGTCATCGTCCTTCTCTCCCTCCTCATGCGGATCTTCTTCGCCGTCGCTGATGCCTCCCTCATAACCGTAGTCTAGGGTGTTGTCCGGCGCTGGCTCATTGGGCTCCTCCAGAACTCGATTCATTCTTTCAGGCAGCAGTCGACCCAAGCCGGTTTTGCCTGCCGGATTTTTAAAAGTGTCTGCCACAGTGTAACACAGGTCAGGAGCTAAGGGATGGGAGGGGGAGGGAAAAAAATTCTGAATTAGGGCCCAGGTAAAGTAGTACTGCAAGCTATGAAAAGGCGTTTATGATAGCCTAATTCAAGGCCACTATTTCTAAAAGCGTCTCAATGCTTAGAGCAGACATTTGGCTAAAGTTAGCTAAAACATTGGGCTGAAGTCAGCGCTGATGTTTGAGGTACTTTAAGAAAAAGGTCGTTTCCGATATTGCAAACCAGCAAGGGCGACCTTCTGACCTTCCATCGTCATGGAAGCGAGTGAGCTTTTGAAACGGCAGTCCAAATACAATTTGGTCCACGAACCCGCCCCTTCTTCCTCTTCGTTGCGAGAAGATGCACGCGATATATATACACTTACATGCCTACTACATGAAATTAAGTAAGCGTAGTTATGTGTATTTATTTCATTGCTATTCTTTGCCCTACGCACATACACATATTTCAGCTCCGGGAGTTAGAAGTGATAGACGGGTTGGTTCACCTTAGCAATCAAGCAAGCGAGCAAGCCGAGTGGAATCCAAAGATGATTGACATTCATCTTCTGTAGACATGACTGGTATGCAACTTTTCGGTGTACTTAAATATAACACGCTTTTTAGTGTGCTTAAAACCTCTCTTGGTGTGCAAAACTGTATCTCGAGTCCTTAAACAGAGGCAATGATTCGTTTTACTGCGAGTCAGAATCTGTTTATAGGCAATAAGAAGGGGTCATCTTTTCGTTTTCTAAAAATAAGCCTCGTTTAACAAGAATCTATTAACGACGGTCGATAACTATCATACGCACCGGTAGCCTATTAAAGGATAATTAACGGGCGCAACGTAGAGTTTCTGCAGGCAGTCATACAGCATAAGGCGTTTTTATGTTAATTGGTACTTGGCTTTGTAGTACAAAAGGGCATTATTTCTACTACGGGGATCCCTCCTAGCTTGCGGGCCGTGTGTCCCGTAACCGCTCCCCCTACACCTCCTCACAAAAGATTTTAAAGATGCGCGAAGTAACGACTTAATGGTTATTATTCAGTCCTTATAAGCCCTATAAAATTGTCATTTAAGATTTCCACACAGTTACGCAACATAATACCTTTATACTCGCCTTCATATCAGGTGCGATATGTTGAAAGTATGAATGTAAAACCCTTTCCATATAGTACATACCAATATATTTATCGCTGATGTTCTCCCACGACTGCGAGTCCGATGCCAAACTCGAGTAGTAACTTGGAAGGCCCTCTTTTTCTTCTTCCTCCTCCTCATCCTCTTCCGTCTCATGCAGATCTTCTTCAGCGTCGCTGATGCCTCCCTCGTAGCCGTAGTCCAGGGTGGTGTCTGGTGGCGGCCCAGTAGGGTTCTCCAGAATTTGACTCATTCTTTCCTTCAGCAGTCGACCCAAGACAGTTTTGTGTGCCGGTTTTTGAAAAGTGCTTGTCATCGCGCCAGCTTTTGACTGCAAAACATCGTGGGCTGGGGAGTGGGGGCAGAGAAGAAACTAAGATGATGGCATATAAGGGCGCCACTAAAACCTCGAAAGGGCGTTAGACTAGGCCAATGCAATGCCAATACGGCTGACGGTGACTCACCCGTTAGAGCAGGCATTAGGCTAAAGTCAGCGCTCACGTTTGAGATAACCTGATAAAAAACAGGCTAGCCAGAAAGTACAAGCAAACAAACCGAGTGAAATGGGAGGATAACTGGCGTTCACTTTCTAAAGACATGACGGCTTTGAACGTCTTTGTTTATTGAACTAGAAAACGCCTTCTAGTGCGTTAAAAACTGCCTTGATATGCAGATCTGGATCATGAATCATTTAGCAGAGACACTGAGTCGTTTTACTGCTAGTCAAAAACAATTTCTCTGGCAAGTAGTAGGAGTCATCCTTTTGCCTTTGAAAAACAAGCCTATTTTAACGAGAGTTCACTGTGCGACTGACGATGGATAGCAAACGAAGGAGTAGCGTATTGAAAGTTAGCTCGTGGACTCAGTATAGAGTCATAGAGTCCAAATTCAAGGCCTTTGCATAGATAAAGGATAGTTCAGTGGAGCCTCGGCTACTGAGTTTAATCCGTTGTGGTACCGAGCTTGTCATCGGAAACGCTCGTTTGGCGAAACGAATTTTGCCATTAAAGATAACGGAAGTACAAATTATCTATTAAATTAATCAATACATTAATCACATGTTGAGAAGTCAAGTTGGCAAACATATGTTTTCAGCAAATCATCATCAGGCCAGAACATTTACAAGGTAATTAAAAACTGTACTTTTGGACAGTTTTTAATTACCCTGCAAATATTCTGGCCTGATGATGATTTACTGAAAACATATGTTTGCCAGCTTGACTTCTCAACTTAAGAATGGGAATATTTGCAGAACTTAGATAACCACATTTATTATGCACTTATAGTGTATTTAATTATTCTGAATGTTTTTGCTGTTTTTAGTTGTATTTTCCCTCCACATCACATTCAGTCGCGTCTTGCTCACTTGGACACTTGTGTATTTTCCGAGTGGTAGACGAACAGCGGCATGACTTTGTAATCAAAATCTGCACTGGCGGAGTGCACGAGGGTAAGTCGATCATTTCTGACCTTGTGGTTAGGCAAAGGTGCTTTCTCTTGCGTAAGTTTGGGCACTAGCCACGCGAGAGTCAGTCAAACTGCATCAGTTCATTGATTGGCCGCAGGCGACCGAGGACTCACGCCCTGAGAGCAAGATTTAATGCCGGACACACACACA